AGCCAGACGAGTAGAGTTTGTGGCAGTAAAATGTGGATTTAAAGGACAACTCACCCTCAAATCCACTTTTTTTTGCTTATAAACGGTATAAATTAGTGTCCAATGGTGTTGTCTACATATCCTCAGTGTTGTGCCAGTTCACAGCTTTTCTGAACTAGTTCAAGTTCAGTTCAAAAATGCTCAAAGTGAACAGTTCACTTTCAAAGTTCACATTTTTATTTATTAACTAGTTCAAAGTTCAGTTCATTTAACTTTTTTTGTGAGATACTTAAATAAATATTTTTTTCACACTACAAGCTATATATATATATATATATATATGTATAATATATATATATCTATATATATATAGATATATATACAGGATATATAGTATATATATATCCTGTACACCCACAGGAGGAGAGCCTTTTGACTAGAAAACAGACAAGATTTACATGGTTTTCAATGGGAGCCAAACGGAGTTGCTCCATCTCTGCTCATAAACTACAGACAGTAATGCGCTGCAGTGCGTGTGTCTATACTTTATGTCAAATGTAAACGGTGTAAACTTTGTCGCTAACTCACCCTGTGTTTTCATCACGACTCGGGCACATGTGAAAAGCACCAGTTCACAGCGCCGCACCGTAACACGGAGTCGGGGTGCGTTCACAGACGGTGGAAACCGTAGGAATTTTTAGATTTCGGCGGAAAAAGTGCGGTAATACAGGAGGGAGGAACTTTTTCTCGTCGCGTTTTAAAAGAGAAAACAGATTCCAACGTTCATAGTGATGTCTGCCGTTCATGACACATAAAATGAACTAATTCACGTTCAAGTTCTTTTTTTGAAAATGTGTTGCGTTCAGTTCAACGTTCACGAAAAAATGAGCGTGTTCAATGAACGCGTTCTTTTGAACTCGTTCACGCACAACACTGCATATCCTGGTCATAATTTTGTCACTTTGGTGCAAATTAGTTGAAAGTTAAACTTTCTGCCTAAAACCGTCTGTGAGGCGCCATCTGCTGGCGACCTGTATTACTACATTTGAATTTTGAATCTGGCGCCTGAGACCTGACGTCAGCAGCCCCCCGCCCAGAGCAATGTAAACGGCCCAGTCTCGTTCACGCCCCCTTCAGTCCTCCAGGCCACGCCCATTTAGAGGAAGATTTGAACAGGAAATGTGAGTGACGTAAGCTCCGAGGAGCGGGGGTGAGAACCACTTTAAAGAAAACTGAAGGATTTAAGAAGAAAAAAAGTTCAGGATGACAAGGGACACTAAAATCCCCAGATACGAACTTTATGAAAGCTGTGGGTTCTCTATCAGGTTCTCTGTCAGCTGAGGTCGAGCTGTTTTAATTTACATTGAGTTCTATGGGACTTTTTCGGGGTAGCCCTCGTGAATTTAGTCTGCAGTACCACAGCGCCCCCTGTGCCCATGGGTGGGACAGCTATAAGCTAGGAAAACACTATCCAGTTATTATTATAGTTCCATGGTTGTGCCACAGGTGCGTTGTATACATGGATCTATTATAATAACTGGATAGGGTATTACTAGCTTGTAGCTCGGGGGATTCTCGTGGTACTGCAGACTAAATTCACGTGGGCTACCCAGAAATTGTCCCATAGAACTCAATGTAAACTAAAACAGCTCGACCTCAGCTGACAGAGAACCTACAGCTTTCATAAAGGTCGGATTTTGTGGGGATTTTAGTGTCCCTTGTCATCCTGAACTTTTTTCTTCTTAAATCCTTCAGTTTTCTTTAAATCCACACTTTACTGCCACAAACTCTGCTCATCTGGCTCTTACTCCCGCTCTAACTCCCACTCTGATCAGCAGCTCTGATTGGTCAGAGCTGCCCCTATGTGCACGTGCATGACAGCCACGCACGCGTATCTGCCGCAAAGCATCATGGGAGCTCGTCCACTGCGCAGAACCGGGAGGACCAGACGATGCCCAAAAATAGGCGAGTTCCGCTAATCTCTGGCTCGTGAAGTCAGTTGATTCACTGTTTTGCCAAAGCCAAATTCATGAACAGAGCAGGTCGGAGCATGAGTGGGGGCATCATGGCTCCTGAAGTTACTAACAAACTTTTGGCACAAACTTCATTTTGATTTTTTTTTTTCATTTAGACTGTAATTGTTGCTGTTTGAATAAATAAAAACATCTTAGGTCAATGTTGTGTTTTTTTCTGCATTAACAAAAATGCTCCTCGCTTTAGATTAGGGTACTGCAAAAGTGTGTAATAAGCAGTTTATTAACGCATATTTTTAGTGGCCTATTACCACTATTGCCTATTAATAAGCAGCTTATTAATATCTTTATAGGCATATTGTTAGTGGCCTATTAACATGGTATCAATAATAGTTTAATAAGCAGCTTATTCATATATTTATAAACATATTCCTCCTTTAATAAGTATCTTACTAATTACTTATATTAAATGCTTAAAAGCATATAACTAGAACAACATCATTTAGAGAATAGTGAAATGAGCAGCTTATTAATATGTTTATAAGTAC